GGGGTCCTGCTGGGTCGCCGCCTCCCGGACAGCCTTCGGAGAGCTCTGGGTCGGCACCTCTCGGGTAGCGTGGGGGGATCTCTGGGTCGCCGCCTCCTGAACAGACTTCGGAGAGCTCTGGCTCGCCACCTGCGGAGCTGCGTCGTCGGACCGCTGGGTCGCCGCCTCCCGGACAGACTTTGGAGAGCTCTGGGTCCCCGCCTCCGGGACAGCGTCGGGGGACCGCTGCGTCCCTACATCCTGGGCAGGGGCCTTCTCTGAGCCTGGAAGAACAGTGTGGAGACCTTACCTGTGTCCCCTACTTTCTCCACAAGAAGATTTATCCAAATGGGCTGGGGGATTAGGGTCTGGAACCTGAGAGTGCAGGATTAATTTGACCTTCTATATTCCTTGCAAGAAGGAAACCCTCTCCTGGACTGAGAGGATGAGACCGCTGCCCGGTGATCTCCGGGAAACATCAAGATCTCTACCAAGGAACCCATGGCCTACCTAGGGTACCCCTCACTATTCCCGGTTTCATACTTTGTGCCCGGAGTTGGCGATGATAGTCAGCCAAATTCATGATCATCTTGGATACATCTTTCTGGTAATAGGGCCGACCAAATATCAAGATCTCAGCCTCGCCCTCGGGGTCCCAATGATTAACGTGAAGCAGGGTCTGTGACACACACTCGACGTGTGGTATGTGCTCTCCTCCCCGACCTGTGCAGGAAGCAAAGAGGCTGTGAGGGGCGGGATTTGGGAGGGGAAGGCGGCGGGAGAAGGTAGCGCTGGTTTGGGGCTAGGACCGCTGGAGAGGCTGGCCCTGGAAGGCGGCCAGCCTGGGGGGCGGGGTGGATAGGAGTGTCGGGGGTGGAAAGACCGCACTGGCCACCGCTCTCAGACCCACTCACCGAAGATCGCCTCCACCAGCCACGCCTCGAGGTGAACAGCCTTCGGACTCTTCAGGTACTCGGAGTGGAACCAATAGGGTCGCTTGGTGAGGTTACCGAGCACCTCGAATAGCGTCCCTTCTCTCTGTTCCAGCTGTACGAGCGTCGGAAACCGCTTAGGAGTGGCCATGCTGCAGTAGGCCTTGCTGCTAGCGGCCGTGAAGCTGCAAACCAAGAAGGCCAAGGTTAGTATCAGTTGCGGCAGTTGTGGCTTGGCCAGGGCCTTATTTCAAGGGCTTTTGGTAAGCCCCTCCCCATCCGCCTCCCAAACTCCGCAGCCTCGGCTTCTTCCCGAGATTGCAGGAGTGCACTGGGTAGAGCACCTGGGCGCTGTAGGAGGGGCCACTGGTCTGGACCCGCCCATTTCCCCAGGCCCTGGGAGCCAGAGGTGGAGCTTCTTCTGGGAAGCAGGTCTCGGGGAGATGAGGACGGCCCGGTAGAGGCATGGGAAGATCCAACATCTGGACAATACCTTTCAGAGAAGCGAACTGATATTTGCGCAGCCACAGGTGCTTTTCAGACGGTTCAAATGGGACCAGCATTCCTGAGGGGTTGGAATGACTTTTTCATGGAAAACCTAATGAAATGCATTGAAGAAGTAAAAATTCAAGGATTAAAAAAGGTGTTCAAGGGCTAAAGTAAGTCCCACTTTATCTTGAACCCTGAATACTGAGTTCCCTCCTCAGAGACCATCACATTTCCAGCTTCTTCCTTGACTTGTCAGAGACAGCTGAGCACATCCAGAGCAAATTCTCTAAGTAACATGTTATTTCTATGTCTTGGTTTTGTTTGTTTGTCTTGTTTTGTCCAGTTTAAAGCATTACCCATGAACTGCTACTCAGGAAGATAAAGTTATATAACTTTAGTAGTTGGGGTGTCATGCCCAGGCCCAGAGGTGAGAGATCCTCTGAACTCAGGTTCAAACTTGTATCCTCTGTGGGAGTTCTGTAGGCCAAAGAAGTGCATGAGAAATTTGTAGGTGTCTGACAGGATCAAAAGTCTTGAGACCTAAGCAGAATGTGAATTAAGAGCCAAAGAAGGGCAAAATCTATTCAAAGAATCACAGAATGGATTGGCAGAACGATTGGGTAGACAGAACAATTGAGTCTATAACTGACACCCAAGGATCTGGGCTCCATAACTATCCCCTCTGGAGGTTACGGACTCACTAACATAGCAACTATAAATTGAATTTTAATGTCCCATCAGTACTGCCAAAAAGAATCCAATCTGAGAAGTATTTCCATGAAAATCTCTAGTCTGAAATCTCTTTCTTACAGCAAATGATATACGATAATATATTGTTTCTTAGTAGGTGTAAGAGGATACTTAGAGTTCTACGCATGTTATTGTCATTATGTACGGGTAGAGATTTTTTACTTCATTGAAGTTTTAGAATTAGGAATGGAAATATTTAAGAGAATTAAAATTAGAGTATTAATATTTAAAAGTGATCTGTCATTTATATGAAATCCTAGAATACATGGACTAATCTATAGAAAGCATGGAGTATTCTCATGGATAGAAAGCATGGATTGAAAGCATGGAGTACTTGCCCAGGGAGGGGAATGCAGGGAGGAAAGGATTGGAAAGAGGCATTTGGAAACTCTCGGGGATGATGGAAATGTGCATTATCTTGATTACAGTGATGGCTTCACTGGATATGGTTTATATGTCAAAACTGGTTAATTGTACACATTTTATTTTATTTAAAAAAAATTTTTTTTTCAACATTTATTTATTTTTGGGACAGAGAGAGACAGAGCATGAACGGGGGAGGGGCAGAGAGAGAGGGAGACACAGAATCGGAAACAGGCTCCAGGCTCTGAGCCATCAGCCCAGAGCCCGACGCGGGGCTCGAACTCACGGACCGCGAGATCGTGACCTGGCTGAAGTCGGACGCTTAACCGACTGCGCCACCCAGGCGCCCCAATTGTACACATTTTAATATAAGCAGTTTATTGTGCTTTATTCTTCAAAGTGGTTTAAAAAGAAAGGAATCCTATACATGGTATTTTATATTGCTGTAATATTTTAGATAATTTATTATATTAGAAAAACAGTTTTGTAACTCCAATTTAAAATATATAAATAAAAAAGTAAAAAATAAAATATATAGTTAAGTCTTGGATTTAGATATATGACTTTAAGATGAAATCTTAGTTTATATTCAGTGTTGGATCACTGAGAAGAACTTCAGTTTCAATATATTCATACGTTTTATTTATTTTATTTACAAGAATTATTTAGTAATTGAGAAGTTCTTGTTATTTGAGGCTATTAAAGTACTTTGCAAAGCTCTTTGCCATGTATGAGAATGGGTTTTGTTTTTGTTTTTGTTTTTGTTTTGTTTTGTTTCTGAGATTGTTTAGTTAATCAAATTTGTCAAGGAGACCTTATGTCATTCGTAGCCCATTAAACATAACTTTTACAACTTTCTAGACTTATGAATAGGATAGTGAGTTTTGAAAGAAAAACTTGAAAGCTTAAGGAAGGACTAAAGGTTTGATTTTTACAATTTGAAAATATATTTCTTTTTTTTTTTTAATTTTTTAAAAATGTTTTTATTTATTTTTGAGACAGAGAGAGACAGAGCATGAATGGGGGAGGGTCAGAGAGAGAAGGAGACACAGAATCTGAAACAGGCTCCAGGCTCTGAGCTGTCAGCACAGAGCCCGACGCGGGGCTCGAACTCATGGACCGCGAGATCATGACCTGAGCTGAAGTCGGACGTCTAACCGACTGAGCCATCCAGGTGCCCCGAAAATATATTTCTTTTAATGTTTATTCATTTTGAAAGAGAGAGTGCACGTGTGAGCAGGGGAGAGAGAGAATCCCAAGCAGTCTCCTGCACTGTCAGCACAGAGCCCACTCAGGGTAGATCTAACAAATTGTGAGGCTATGACCTGAGCAGAAACAAAGAGTCAGCCGCCCAACCAACTGAGTTACCCAGGCGCCCCTGGTTTTTACAGTTTTAGGAAATATTAATTTTCAAAGAAATCTCTAAACACTCTTTTGTATGCACATAAATCACCCCCAAGGTTCCAAAAAAGAAAAAATACACCGTCTTTCACCCTCCTCTCCCAGCTTACCTATATTTATCAGACCTGGTACCCCCTGCCCCACTTCAGTAATATGATTTTGTTAGAGCAGTGTTCAAGTTTATACTATTATGACCTTGTAAATAATATTCATAAACTGCAATATGATTTCTTGGGTAAAGTTTTATTTTTCTTGATGTTATTAATTGCTTTTTTGTTCAAATGCTTCTTTTTCTTTTTAAAATGCTTACTTTTCTGGGCACCTGGGTGGCTTAGTCAGTTAAGTGTCCAACTTCAGTTCAGATCATGGTCTCTTGGTTCATGTGTTCAAAGTTCCTTCTCTCTTGGTTCATGTGTTTGAGCTTCCTTCCAGGAAGGAAGCACTGTCAGTGTGGAGCCTGCTTGGGGGGGTCTCCCTCCTTCCCTCTCTCTCTTTCTGCCTTTCCCCCACTTGCTCTCTCTCTCTCTCTCTCAAAATAAATAAATAAACTTTAAAAAAATGCTTATATTTCTATGTGTTCCTCCTTTATCTCCAAACTGCCCAACTATGTAAATTTCTCCTGTCCTTTCAAGCCCAGCAGGCACTTTATCATTTCATCTTGACAGTATTGCTCCTTCAGTCTTAACTGTTCTAATCTAAGTTAGTTGCTTTCCAGGCCCATCATCCTGAGTTTACCACAGCCTTTTTCTGGTGTTGGGTCCTGGGCTCTCTGGATCCCATGACTTCCTTTCTTTGTGCATGTGCCTGTTTGGTTTTGTTGTTGTTTGTTTGTCTAGTAGATTTTATAGTAGTATCAATAGCATTCAGGCAAAAATTATTAAATTTATATATAATCATCCTTAAGAGGATCCTTGTGGTTTCTACTATACTTATGCTTCCCACTTTGTTTCTGATCAGCTTCTAAGAAGTTGAGACTGAGCTAGCTGAATTCCAGGAAGGCAGCAGAAAATTAAAGGCAGAGTTGTGAGCACAATTAGTTCAGGCTAAACAAAGAAATAGAGACTTGCAAGCTGATAACAAGACTGAAACATGCAGTGGAAGCATTAAAGGCAATTGTGGCAATTGATGCTGATGCCTAATGTGCTAGGTTTAGTAAGATGAGAAATATATTTTTTCAGGTGGAACTTAAGAGCAGTAGGCAACAAAAAAAAATAAAAGCAAGTTTCAAGAGAATTTTTGAAATAAAATGTTCTCTTCTACTGAACCATGTAAAGGTGGCTTAGAGTTAAGAAGTTCACTTAGAAATTTCATAGCTGTCAGCCTTCTAGCCTAATGTTCCTAGCTATAATATGGTAGTTCCTATAATTTTCAAAGGCTGTCAGATAGATTGGTTCATTCTACAGTACTTTAAAATTATATATATGACATATGCAGTTATTTCATTATCGTTCATTGTCCCTTCAGTTTTGGAGTCTAATTTGGGTTAACAATTAGCTTTAAAAAGGAGTTTTCAGTAGTACAAAGATTAACCCTTTTTGTTGCTCTTTACTACCTGCCTGAGCCAAATGCTTGGGAGTGTTTTTGCATCTGGGGAGTGAATGGGTTTGGGAAACGTGGTGGGCGAGTTCAGGTAAGGGATAAGGAATTTGGACTCTTAGTGGTGGTTTACACTGGGCTTAACCTGGGCTACATTCACCCTGAGAACCAGAGATTCTCTCACCAAGTTCATAATATTTGAGGCAAAGTTTTCCTTATTTGACTTCTCTTCAGAGAGAGACTTCCTTTCATTTTGATGGAGTAAATCCTCTATTATTTTCTGAGGAAATGCATATTTTGAGGCCTTGCATGTTGGAATATATTTTTATTCTATCCAGATAGTTATTTGGACATTTGGCCTTAAATTTTTTCCTTTTTCAGAGAGAGAGAGGGAGAGAGAGTGCACACATGTGTGTAAGCAGGGAAGGAGCAGAAAGAGAAAGAGAGAGAATCTGAAGCAGGCTTTGTGCTGACAACATGGCTCAAACTCACAAACTGCAAGATCATGACCTGAACTGAAATCAAGAGTTCCACACCCAACAGGCTGAGTCACCCAACTGTCCCTGGCCTTAGAATTCTTGACTGAAATAATTTTCCCCTCAAAATTTCATGCTTTACTTTATTGTCCTCCAGCTTCCACTGATGCTTTTGACAAGTTTAGGCCATTCTGATCTTAATCTTTGGGAAATGATCTTCAATTATTTCACTAAACATTTTTTTTTCCTTTGGGGCACCTGGGTGGCCTCAGTTGGTTAAGCATCTGACTTCCACTCACAGTTCATGAGTTTGAGCCCCATTGGGCTCTCTGCTGTCAGCCCAGAGCTGGCTTCAGATCCTCTGTCACCCTTTTTCTCTGCCTCTCTCCCACTTGTGTTCTCTCTCTCTTAAATAAATAAACTTAAAACACACACACACACACACACACACACACACACACACACACACACACATTTTTCCCCCTTGTGTTTCCCGTCTCTTTCTCTTGTTATTCAAAAGTTGGCCTTCTGGACCAGTGTTCTTCTTTTTCTTTTATTTTTCATTTGCCCTATGCTGTTTTTGTTTGTCTGGTAATCACTGAAGTTTGGAACTAAAAAACTCATTAGAAGCTCTGAGCAGGTAGGGTTGTCTACACCCAACATTCACTGAGGGAGATATGTGTAGAATTTTTTTGTGGGAATCCCAGTGCAGTCTCATGAGATGTTTCAGTGTTCTCTCCACTGGCCACCCCTTATGTGAGTTCTGCATACTTTAGAAGCAACACACACTTTTTAAAATTTAGTTTCCTTTTTTCTTTGAATTCATTGTCTTAGTTTAGATAGAAAAATTGTCATTTCAACCGTGTACTGAAATCTTAATGTAAGTG